CGGCCTTATCCACGGAGCCACAGCTGCTCTTGCAAAATTGGCTATAGCTAGGCGTTACTTTCCGCCGTTCTTAAAACTGTTCATAAAATAGGGCTTAATAGGGTGACAGCAAACGACAACACTGTTGGGTATACAAGTTGACTAGTGGGACATAGAACCTTCGTAGAAATGTATTTGCATGCTTCATAGACTATCGTAAGGCGTTCGACTGTGTTAATCATCAGAAGATGATCAAAATTCTAAGAACAACCGGAGTTGACCAACAAGACCGTTTCATATCAGAACTTTATTGGCATCAAACGGCGCGACGGTAGTTGAGATGAAGCAGTCAACATCGGAAGATATACAAAAGCATCATAGATTCCGTAGTCCACTATAGTGAGATGTTTGGACTGCATCTCAATGTCTCCAAGACCAAACTATTGGTCTTTTCTAAGACTCCAATAAATGTACACCTGCGTGCCAAGGGACAAGCAATCGAACAAGTGACCTCAATAAAGTATTAAGGAACTAACATCAATAGTCAGTGCGACCACAAAAGAAAAATATTGTCAAGAATTGAGCAAGCGAGAAAAATCTTCGTGAGTATGAACTCATTTTTTACAAGACGAGACCTCAGTGCGGAACTCAGAACTCGAATGGCCAGATGCCACGTTTTCTCTGTGTTACTCTATGGATGTGAGAGCTGGACACTAAATTCACAGACCGAAAAGAGAATAGAAGCTTTCGAAATGTATGTGTACAGACGGATACTGCACATCTCATGGGTACAAAGGATCACAACCTAACCTAACCAACAATGAGGTACTTCAGCGCATGCAGAAACAAAAAATACTGAACACCATCAAGGAAAGAAAAATTCAGTACCTGGGTCATGTGATGTGAGGTGATAGATACAAAATACTGTACCTCATAATAGAGGGCAAAGTACAGGGTCTAGAGGAAACAGCAGAAGCGAACATCAGCAACATCAGGGAAGTTTGCAAAGAGCTGGAAGTGCTTTAACGCAAAGAAAGAACAAGAGGAAGGTTTGGTACAATAATAACAGGGGTATCGCAGTGGGCTCAAACAGGATCCCAAACTCCAGCAACCTAACCTAACCTAACCTAGACATGCAGAAACAAAAAATACTGAACACCATCAAGGAAAGAAAAATTCAATACCTGGGTCATGTGATGTGAGGTGATAGATACGAAATACTGCGCCTCATAATAGAGGGCAAAATGCAAGGGAAAAGATCAGTAGGAAGACGCAAGAACTCATGGCTAAAAGATTTAAGGAGATGGTTTGGACGCTCGTCTGCGGAAATCTTCCGGGCTGCAGTTTTCAGAGCCACAATTGCCATTTGGATCGCCAACCTTCGGCAGGAAAGGGCGTGATAAGAAGAAGAAACGGCAACATTGTTGGGTATGCAAGTTGACTAGCGGGACGTAGAACCTTCTCACTCTGTGCTGGGCGCCAGGTCACAGAAATGTGGTAGGCAACCAAGAAGCGGACAGACTCGCCAAAGAGGGGGCCAGGGGAGAAGCCGTGGCAGATGACCCACCACTTGTGACGTTCAATACACTGAAGGTAGCTATAGGAACTACAATCAAGGCCAAGCAGCAAGAGACGTGGCAAGACCGTGAGGACTGCGCCACAGATGGAATACTGTGGCCAATGATAGATAGCAAAAAGACAAAACAACTACTAGAGCAAAAAAAGAACCTGGAAGATGAGAGTGAGATGGAAGATTTCTAACGACGACTACTGCAGAGAATGCGGAGAGGAAGAATAAACCTGTTGTGTCCCCGTCCGGTACTGGAATACCGACTAGCGACGCCTTAAAACTTTAGTGCAAGGTTTTTTGGAGGGTCTAGAGGAAACAGCAGAAGCGAACATCAGCAACATCGGGAAGTTTGCAAAGAGCTGAAGAAGTGCTTTAACGCAAAGAAAGAACGAGAGGAAGGTTTGGTACAATAATAACAGGGGTATCGCAGTGGGCTCAAACAGGATCCCAAACCCCAGCAACCTAACCTAACCTAACCTAGACTTAATGAGAGCATCAGTCTGATGAAGGGATACATTAGTATAATATTGGTAAATTTCTTGTTATGGTAGCCATATTTCCATACTTGGATTGCTAAAAATAAAATTCTATTGATTTAATATTCAAATCTGTAATGACTCTATAAAGGCTACTAACAAAAACAAGACATAGAAACAAGCGAAAGGGTGCATCTACTAGGTACCCTGTGAATGAGGTAAGTCGAATATTGGAGAGAGTAAACGTGTTCTAAATGTACGATGTAACGAACACAAAACAAATATACAAAGAGGTGAAACTATGAAGTCAGGTATATTGCAGATCATGTGTGGTACAAGCAGCACAATATAAAGTGGTGGGAAGATCAGGTTGTCCACAAAGAACATAACTCTCAACTTCATAAATCTATGGATGGTTTACACTTAATAACGGTCAGTGATAACATCTAAACGAAATATTGTTAAGTTAAAATAAATAGACAATTCATGTCCCCAATTTTTTAGTTTAAAATTTTATACTTATTTTCGGCGATAGCAATCATCGTGTATTTTTAGAGTAATATCTAAATATTCTTCAGGTAGATATGAATCGTTTCGTTACATCGCTGAAATGCAAGACCTGCTTATTAAAAGTTTTTGTTTCGTTCACCGCGAATGTTATAATAACATGACCCATCATCGGCACGTGTACTAAAGTTTTTTAATAAACATGAAACCGGATCGGATGAGAACAGAATAATTTGATTTATATTTTAGGTTTTTTTGAGTTGCAAATCTGAAAAGCATCCCGGAAATTCGGAACAAGCAAATTTAAAATGGAAACACTGCTTTTAGACTACTAATAATAAAGTTATTGTATTAATCCATTACGTAAAATATTCAATTACACTGAGGAATAGGTGGAAATGAGAAGTTTTAATAGCGTTTTATGGAAATTGAAATTACAGTTGACTAAAAACATAAATAAGGAATTCGAATTTGCATAGGAAATGTTTCTTCCTATGTTTGGAGGAAAAAAGACTGTGCAACTAGTCAGAACATACATTTAACCTCTGATTAACAAAAACGAACAATGTTAGATATGTCAATGCGACAATGATTAAAATGGTCATTGACGGAAACAGTACTGGGATAATTGCCAGCTCAGGAGCTTGGAACTCCATATTCTCCGTCCGTCACTACAGGACACAAGACTACTACAGATTACAGGAAAAAGTAAAGGAGCAGCAGAGTAAACTTTATGTTACATTCATCGACCTAACAAAAGCCTTCGACTCTGTAAACAGAAATCCACTTTGAGCAATTATGCAAAAGTTCGGAGTACCCAACAAATTTCTTACAGTGCCAACACTCTCATCATCACTTGAGGAGGATATAGTTGCCAGATTGTTATGACTAAATTCCGGGAGAACAAAAAAAGCACGAGCAAAAAAAAACGGCAACGTTCTAAAAAATACACATCACCACCCCCTTCCTATTCCACAAGGCTATTCCACAAGACACAAGCACCAACAACAGAAACAAAGGTATATCATAATAATTATCAAAACAACATTATAGTCCAGTAAATAAGGATACTAAAACAAGTCTCGGAATAATTCATCGACCATAATTTTTTTATTTTAGGCGGATTGTGTACCTTATGGGGAGTAGTTTTAAGGGGCGTCCAGACCAGATGAGCGAGCAGTAACGAGCGCGAGCAAACATTTATTCAAATTCGCTCGTGATTTCTGCTGCTCTCGAGCACATGATCAGCTTCCGTCCAGACCTGGCGATTATTTGTATGTTCGGCGTTGATCGGTGTGTGGCACTTCATGTTCATAATGTCGGAAAAAATTATTGTTTGTGCGTCTTTCATTGTATTTTATAAATTGTTGAAACGTCAAAAGAGAAAACGACTGCAGAGGAGTTGGTGGAACATAACTCCTTTTAAAAATCGAGTTTCTCATGGTGGTAACAACTTACTAAATGATGTTGAAACAGAAGATTCGGGAAAATTTAAAAACTTTTGTAGGATGTCACTTACAGATTTTAATACCGTATTAGATTTAATTGACATAAAAATAATGAAAAGTGATACCAATTACCGAAAAGCTATTTCACCTAGAGAAAGGCTAACTATAACCTTACGGGTCTTGGCGATTTTTGTACTCCTCTATTAGTTCTAAAACAACTTCATTCGGCCATTCCATTTTTGATATTCGATCGCAAACGTGGTAAACAAAATCCCGTCCAAACCGAACGTGCAATAGTGCGAATTTTCTTTGATGTACCGACACGGCGTGGAACAGCGTCGAGCGCGAGCAAGCAATCATTCGCTCGCTCGCAGAGCCGTCCACACCAGTTAAGCGTTCCCATAGAACATACCCGAATTCTTGCTCGCTCATCCGGTCTGGACGCCCCTTTAGGGTAAAAATTGCGATGCTCGGCCGAAAAAATGGCCCCAAACGGCCAAAAAATCAGTTTTTCGCAAATATTTGCCAAAATATGCAATTTACAAAATGTTTCTTAAAAAAATGAAGCTTAAGTAATTACCTATGAAAATGGTCCTTATCAGTTTTTACGTAGAATTAGTAGTTTTCGAGATACTCCGCCACGGAGATCCCTGAATTTTCCTCCAAGTCTTAACGGCTCCGGAGATAGATTTCATAAGTGTATCATTGATTAATAGGACAAATTGTTTAATAACTCGGCTAAAATTTAATGTTTTTTCGTGATTCTTAAAGTTCAAAAGGTAGAATCAACAGATTTCCTTCCATTTTGGAACTTGTTTGAATTTTGTCATATTTTATGATAATAAAAAAATTGATCCAAAAATTTTCACTTATTCACATTTTCACTAATAATAATAGCTTATTTGTCAAGATTTTTTTAAGACACTTGTTCTCAGAGTCGCTTTAAGCAACTCACAAAGTTTGAAGTATTTCGATAAAATTTCGTATTCGATAAAATGGGGAAGAAATGGAAAAACTTACCTATAGTACATTTTGACCACCCACTGGTGATCCGCTTCGACTAAAATATCCCGCTCCGCCCGCACGTGCGCCACCTGTTCCTTCTCCAGCATGTCCGCCTTGCGCAGGATCTTCATCGCGTACACGTGGCCTGTGTCCTTCTTCTGCACCAGCCGCACCTCCCCGAACGCCCCCCTCCCGATCACCTTGAGCGGCTCGAAGTCCTCCACCCCCAGCCTGGACCGCTTCAGGCGCAGGAACTCCGTCTCCTTCTGGGCGTGCTGCAGTCGTTTCTCGTGTCTCTGTTCCTCGGAGAGGCTCTCGTCCTTGAGGGATTCCTCCAGCTTGGCCAGCCTGCAACGGTAAAGGAGATTGGTTAGTTAATGCATATATGTCGCAGCTGTATCGAATAATTCGGCTTTTTGCAAAAAGACTAGGCATATTATAAAACGCCGGCATTTTTAACTAAAGGAGGGAATTGTACAAAGTGCCTATATGTTTCTAGTCGCTTTGCAAAATGCCTAGTAAGAATTAGGCATATTAAAGAATTAAGATATTTGATCACGCAAAGAGACTGCTTGTTTTCGGTCATTCTTCAAAATGCCTAATAAAGACTAGCCAGATTGCACAAAACATTTTACGCAGGAGTGATATATCTAACCTAAGTTTATCTAACATATTTTGAATAAATTTGTTTCAAAATTACGAATACAATAGGAAATAATGGAACACAATGTTGTGAACATATATTTAATATAGTTATATTATGTATATGTATATTCTACAAATTATGTATATAAAATATTAATTTTACCCTTATACTACGGCTATACCTAAAGAGTTTAAGATATTAAAAAACGATTAACATTATTATTGTTCTCAGAAAGATGGGTAGACTTAAATAAACAGCTTAAGATAAAATAGTCATAACTAGATGCGTCATTTTTAGTTTTCCTTTGTAATCCATTTATTTTCAGACGGGATGTCTGGTTCTATTTACTTAAGAAATGGTTACGATGGTTCAACAGCGATTACTACATTTGGTGACAACGGTGGTCCAACTCAGGATCACAACGTTGGTGGCAGCGGTGGGATCAACTCAGGATCACAACATTGGTGGCAGCGGTGGGATCAACTCAGGATCACAACAACAATAGTGTGATTTTATTAATGTGGCCAAGGATAGTGATGTAACGGGTAATATTACCGGTAATTTTTCTAATATTACGTAATATTACTGCAAGGTCAATAACATTGGAACCGCTCTACGCTTTTTCATTTGCCCAGGTCCAAAATAAGTATGTTGGCTGTAGACACTTTAAATTTATCATCGTCAACAGCCGCAACCGAAAAAACCTTTAGTACTTATGAACTTGTTTGTATTGGCTAACAAATCTCTAGAATGATGGAGAAACTCACCACGACAGAGACGGGCGAAAAAGTTCATAGTAAAACATTCGCCAAAATTCACAGCAGACCTGATACAAAGACCGAAAAACAGTCAAAGCTGTAGAGGATCTACTAACAGGGCATTTTAAGAATGTCAATAGACATCTAAAGCTAATGAGATTGACGGACGAAGCTATGTGCAGGTTCTGTCAATCTGAAGAAGAAACGGCAACATATTTTATATCGGTTGGACAGTCTGGCAAGTGTGCGGTTCTCGGTAATAGGCCACTGCCAGAGAGCTAGATTTAAGGTCCCGTCTCAAAGTTGCTAGACTTTGTGAAAAGGATAGGTTTGGAGAATACCGACAGCCACTTCGAAGAATCTAATATAATCTATGGATTTGTTCATCAGACCAGAAAAAACAAACTTACCGTGGAAAGGGCTGGAAAATTTTCTTATATTGCCCATAATTATAATTTACTAAATGGAGAAGAACATCCAAGAATGGTAGAAGCTGCTGAGAAAGATATGGAAGAGGAATATCGATTGCGAAGTAATACACGACTCAATTAACAAAAGAAAAAGAAGAACCAGATAACGAGATGAGGCTGAACCAGATGACGAGATGAGAACCAGATTGAGGATGATTTACCATTATCTCTCTATTACGTATTATAACATAATCACAATCTGACTAGTTTAGTAAACGTTCTTGCTTTCTTTTTTGTAATGTTTTTACAGTTTTAGAATAAAAAAAATATTATTAAAAAATGTTGTAAAATGTTTTAAGCTGTTATTTATTAATTACCAATGTTACCGCAATATCACCGGTAATATCAGTGGCGGATCCACGCTTGGGTTCTCAGCCAAGTAATACGATATTATTAATTCCTTTAGTCAAAAACCACTCTTGAGTATGTACTTTGAGTAACATTTTGTGTCTAGCCCCCCCTTTCCATAACCATTATATAAATTACCGGTAATTTTACATCACTAAGTAAGCATGTGTTACAAATTTTCTGATTTCTGTTAGAAAATATTGAAAATACAAGAGTAATTTATTAGAAATAATTAATAACTTGTTGCAAATGTAAAAGGAATAACATGGATTGTACTAAATCCATATCGATTGAATGTGTCATCGATTAGATGTTAAAGGTCAAGCGAGATGCATATGCACTTTACATGTGTTAAATGAAATAAATGCCTTTTAAATTTCAAGGTTTGTATTTTTTCAAGCGGCAAACAGAAACAGTGTTTATATTTAAACTTTTAAATACATTTATGGCGAATGATTGTGTGAGGTGTATATCTGGCACGTACACAGGGCGTTTCGTCACGAAATACCAACACATTGATATAGCAAAGAATACATTTATAGGAAGTCTGAACATTAGAGAGTGTAGAAATATCGCAGAGGAATCTTGAGCTAAAATATTTTCAAGATGGCGGTACTTCCGGTTGTACTGTTTTATTTTAGTTTAACTTAAAAAATTAAAGATTAATAAAAAAGGAAAAAAACTTTATTGTGTCGGTAAAATGTTAATTGCAGTTACTTATTACATCCCCTTGTATTGAGGCCACGCTACGCCGGCGCCGCTGTATTCACAGTTAAACAATTTGTGGCTTTATTTAGTATCTCCCTTACAAACCATTACCTTTACTACGAAACTTCGCCACTAAAATTCTAACGTACATTGTACAGGGTGGGTCAAATTCGACGCTTTTAAATGGCAACACCCTTTTCTATAGGAGATAGACGAAAATTAATATCGGTGTCTGGAGCTCAATTTTCATCAAAAACATGATGATGAAAACCGCACATCAATATCTGTTACCGTTTCGGAGTTACGGGGTGTTTTTCAAAAATGTGCATTTTTAACAAATCGCTGTAACTTTTTTGCTATGGAAAATTTTGTATTTCTATGAAAACATTTCCAAAGCACATTTTTACGTAGAATTTAATGGTTTAAGTATAATTTTTTTAGAATTAATAATTTAAGAGTTATCAACAGAAAAAATGATTTTTTATTTGGGACACCCTCTATATTTTTTATTAACAGAAAAGAATTTAAAATTACTTTTCCAAAAATATAGCACACTTGATATTTTGTTATAATCCCCTTCGAAATACAGAATTTTCAAAAGTTCGCCACTTTTAACTAGTAGGCTTTGGACCCCTTATTGATGATATGCCCTTAATGGAACTCGAAAACATATTTTTTCCAGCAAGACGACGCACCGCCTCTGAACGCTGAAGTTATCAGCAAATTTTTGCAGCCAATTTCAAAAATAATTGAATAGCTAACTAAGAACCCAGCCGTTGGCTGTCGAGGCCGCCTGACTTAGTGCCCATGGATCTAATCTTATGGACATATTTGCGGAAGAATAAAGGTTCCTTATTCTTCCGTATAATCTAGACAAGAATTAGAATTCCGCGAGAAATGTTCAAAAACTGCCCCGTCTGTCCATAACAGAAGACGGTCGATATGTCACAAAACATTTTGCTACACCTGTAGCAAAATCTCATGTCTTGGTTTGCTGTTTATTTTTTTTTTGTTATTAGATATAGTTTAAATGTGTTGATGTAGGTTAAATATATTTTAAATTGTTATAAAATTCTGCATCTCTCATAGCAAATATTATTTTGTTTTAATTGATGCTCACAGCTAGATTTTTTTTGCATTACAGATTGATTGACATTAATACCGGTGCCGTTCAAAGCCTACTTATTTAAAGCGGGCGAATTTTTATATACTATATCTCGAAGAGGAATCGAGCAAAATATCAAGTGTGTTATATTTTTGGAAAGGTAATTTTAAATTCTTTTCAATAAATTAAAAATATACAGGGTGTCCCATATAAAAAATCAAATTTTCTGTTGATAATTCTTAAATTATTAATTTAAAAAAAATTATACTTAAACCATTAAATTCTACGTAAAAAGGTGGTTTGGAAATGTTTTCATAAAAATACAAAATTTTCCATAGCAAAAAAATTACAGCGATTTGTTAAAAATGCATATCTTTGAAAAACACCCCGTAACTCCGAAACGGTAACAGATATCGATATTAGTTACATGATGGTTTTCACCATCATGTTTTTGACAAAAATTGGCCTCCAGACACCGATATTAGTTTTTGTCTATCTCCTATAGAAAAGGGTGTTCCCATTTAAGAGCATCGAATTTGACCCACCCTGTACATCGCTAAAGTTATTTTGAATCACACTTGCAAATACACCCTAATATTAACTTAACGGAAATCTCAATCTTATACGTGCAATGTTAACTTGAAAATTAAACTTTGAATACAATACGAAGTTGGACTAAGCCGCGGGGAAATGTCTAATCGAGTTTTGATGTATCTGTTTCACAAACACAAATCTCCAAAGAGTTATGACTAGGGAGGACAGCTTTTGTTTATTTCCTTTAAACTACATGTCAAAAAGTTAGTGGTCAAAATATGCAATTTACAAAATTTTTCTTGAAATAAAAAATGAAAATTAAGTAATTACCTACAAAAATGATCCTTATCATTTTTTACGTAGTAATTTTCTAGATATTCCATCTCGAAGATCCCTCAATTTTCTCTCTAAGTCTTAACGCTCCGAAGATAGATTCCATAAACCTATCATTGATTGATAGGACAAATTGTTTAATAACTCGGCTAAAATTTAATATATTTTGATGATTCAAAGTTCGTTTAAAAGGTAGAATCAACAGCTATCACATAGGAACTTGTTTGAAATTTATCATTTTTATGATAATTAAAAACCCGGGCAAACCATTCCTTAACCCAAAAATTTTCAGATTTTTACAAACTTATTTATATTTTTACTAACAATAGCTTATTAAGTTAACAGTTGTTCTTAGAGTCTCTTTAAGCAACTCAAAAAGTTTAAAGTATTTGTTTAATCACATTTTAATAAAAAAAAACAAGTATTCGTGAGTGGCCTTTTCCGCTTTTTTGGGGATTTCCGGAAAGTGTCATAAACAAAAGAAAATTGCATAATTACGATCAGTCGAATTGGTTTCGTTTTACGAACAATTTTACGAAATAAAGTGTCAGGATCATTTTCAGCTAAAGACCCAATCTTCCATTTGGCGATCATGAAAATCATCTACATGCCATATTCGGGCAATATTGGCGGAAAACCCGTTCTTTGACACTCTAGGGCCGTTTTTAACCGGTTTCTTGCGACTTTACGAAAAAAAGTGTTAGAACTTTTTTCGTAGATAATTCTAATCTTCTTCGCTCATTTTTTATTTCAGGAAAAATTTTGTAAATTGCATATTTTGACAGATATTTGCGAAAAACTAATTTTCGGCCATTTGGGGCCATTTTTAAGCCAAAGCCGGTCGAGTGCATTGTTACATTTTTTTCTCCTAAACTACTCTTCAGAAGCGAGTTCGGTCACGTTGGGAATTCGCTTTCAAGTAAAGTTTTCGATTTTTGGCTTATTTTTTGATTATTAACTGTTATGCAATTGATGCATTGATTGCAATTGGCCTTGTAGTACTAATCACTAGCCAGAAAAGTAAAACAATTGTGCGCAATGTAATGAGAAAAAAATATTGTTTTAACAAAGGTCTAAAAACCTTCAAATCGTTTGTAGTTTGGGTACAACTAAAGACATTATGTCAAACTATGTTAATTTTCAAATTTTACTATAATTCACTAATTCCAAGAATCTCTTATTCATTTTTTTTGCTACTACATAAAACTACAAACGATTTTGAAGGTTTTTAGACCTTTGTTAAAACAATATTTTTTCTCTTTATTATATTGCGCACAATTGTTTACTTTTTCTGGCTAATTATTAGTACTACAAAAAAACTGAATTTACTACAATCAATTGCATCGTTTGTAGTTTGGGTACAACTAAAGACATTAGCTTTTTTCGTTTTCCTGTTATTATCGATTCTGAACCGTCCTAGAATTGTGAGGCGTATGCGCAGAAGGAAATATGAAGACATTATTTCATTTGCGCATGCGCTGCAGAGTTCTAGGACGATTCAGAATCGGTAATAACAGGAAAACGAAAAAAGCTATAATGTCAAACTATGTTAATTTTCATATTTTACTATAATTCACTAATTCCAAGGATCTTTAACTGAATGTTTTTGCTACTACATAAAACTACAAGCGATTTTGAAGGTTTTTAGACCTTTGTTAAAACAATATTTTTTCTCTTTATTACATTGCGCACAATTGTTTACTTTTTCTGGCTAATTATTAGTACTACAAAAAAAATTGAATTTACTACAATCAATTGCAGCGTTTGTAGTTAATAATAAGCCAAAAATCGAAAACTTTACTTGTAAGCGGGTTCCAACGTGACGGAGCTCCCAAAAGGTCCACAATCCGCCTAAAAAGTCAAGGTCGACGAATTAAGCAGAGGTTTTGGTCTTTTTGTGTCCTTATTTACTGGAAGTTACTATTGTTATTTACTATTGTTGAAGGCAATTTGTTTAATAATATTAATCTTTTATTGAAAATTCTTTGGGCTCGGTGGAAACATTAATAATCTATGAATTTTATTAAACCATGAAAAGGTGACATTTTAATTTGCTTTGTTTCTTTTTTTGCCAAGTTTCATTTGAATTAAATTACTAAAAATAATACTTTATTGAGTCTACGTCAGTGAGTTAAGAAGCTCTTTAACTCACGCATTTTGAGTGAGTTAAAGCTTTTAACTCACGCATTTTCATTACCGCACTCCCTTGATTAGATGACTACCAAAGAGAAAAAATATTTTGTAAAACATTTATTTTGCATTAAATACCTGCTAAATACAAGTAAACTGTTCTATTGATAACAATTGAGCGTCCAGATTGCACAACGACCTTAGCGCGTGCTACTGGCGGCCAGTAGGCAAAGCGAGAGACAGCGACGCGCCGATTTAACAAAAAATAAATAATTTTAAACCTGCCGTCATTTCGTTAATAATTATCGTATCGTGTTGATTTTTGCATAGAAATACTCATGAGTCTTTGAAGCGCTTCCGGACAAGCCTAAATAACTGGATTATTTTAATATTTTCGATTTGTTTACACTGCCCGAGCATATTATAACTTTGATAAAAATCTCTGTTATAAATTTTAAAACTGACAGATATGACTACTATCATTTAATTAGTTATACATTTAGTTACAACATATTCAAAATTTAGGTCCTATCGGTTTATGCTAGCAGTAATAACGAGTATAAATAAAAAAATGGTCAGTACAACGCTCGGCGTTTTTAGCGCACGTTCAGCTTTGGTTTTAGTTTTAGCGCTATTTTTACAGAAAATAAATTCTGAAGTTTAATCAAATGACAAGAACATTATCATTGCCGATATCCCTGGTTATAATGTAGTTCTTTTTCAAAATATTGCATTGTTTTAGCTTAAAAAACTTGAATTATGCGGCTTTTTTTTGCGAGAGCTACCGGAGCTGCGCGTTAATAAAGTATGTACGTCAATCATAGCCACAGTAGACTGTAATTTTACCGTCACGAGATTTTTGGAAATATTGCACTTCCATTTATCCGATTTCTACTAAATTTTGACCTTCTTTCGGTCGCATTTCCTCTATTTAATAATAATTTAAAAACGCAGAAATACTACTGGTAGTAAACAAGCTGCGGCAAAAATTTTCTATACTCCGTGTAAACAAAAGACTATCGCAAATACTGTCTTTCGATTGAGGTACATAGCCATCTCTTTATTAACGCAGCGCCGGTAGCTCTCGCAAAAAGCTGTTAACTCACTTGTATCGTAAATATCTAATAAAGATTTTCTATGTAGAATAGAAAGCGCCTCTAGTAAAAAAGACATTAAAATTGTACTTGTCGGAGTCTTACAGCAAGACTGACCATGCAAGAGCTCAAGATTACTTATTAGACTGCAAGACAAAGACCAACGGAATTTTATGTTTTGGACTTGCATTTGCTCATCACTAATAATTTTATTTTTATAATGATATAATATGAAGGATATTATAAAATAAACTTGTTACTGACACACGCACACAAGTAGTTTATACTATAGATCCCCATTCTTCTATATTTCAGTGTTGTATGCATTTGCTCATCATCACTAATAATTTTGGCTTTTATAATGATATAATATGAAGGGATATTATAAATAAAATAAACTTTGTTACTTCGAGATACACGCAACACAAGGTTTATACTATAGACTCCCATTCTTCTTTATGGCTTCAGTGTTGTATAGCTCAGTCTCTAGATCTTGCACGCAACATGCTTCAAGGTCAGAACCGAATGCATTCTTAAATGACGGTCTGGCCATCCGGTATATTGAAGACTATTATTATTAAATCAAATGAAAAAGCATATGTGCTTGAAATATGGCCAGTTTATGATTTTTTTATACGACAAAAAAATAAAAAAGAGATGTTATGTTGTTAACCTATAAACTGTAAGTCAAGTCGTCAGATTGGCGGACGATGTGGAACGTACTGCTTGCAATAGATAAATACGTCTATAACCAATAACAGTAAATTGATGGACGAATGCCAAGAGAAACAGAACATTCGCTGGAGAACTGGTCAGCAGATGTTGCGGTAAACAATGTGGACTTTGATATTACTCATCGCCATGAAGTTATAAAACCGAGATCCATAAAATTGGAAAACGATATATACAAATTTAATGTGTTCCATCATCGCAGAAAATATTTAAAAATAATAGAAATTTTATGACAGAATATTTAAGGAAATTATTATTATTATCATTAATATTAATATATTTCACATCGATGGCAGAATAATAATTATAAAAACACATTAGGAAATCAAAAGGTATAGCATTTGCAAAAGCCTCTATGACATATAGAAAGACCGAGAGAGAGAGACCTATAACATTACAACAGTTTTTTTCTCAATATTAAGGAGCTGTCCTATACCGGAATCACTGCAATCTGTAGGACCTATTGTGTTTTGTTCTTTTCTATGTCTGCACCTAGTCTCCTATCCCAAATGTCTGTAAAATGTACCAGCTAGTGCAAGGAAGTTTCCATAGGAAGGACAATGTCTCCTCAATGACTAGGTTGAAGCTAAGAAAAACGGCGAATGGCAGATTCTCTGGGAAGAATGGGGAAACACCAGAACACCTCACCCACTGAGTGCACCGAGATCGACAAACCATTCGTGTCATAAATATTGGTACTACCTCTGTAAAACCGTCTCAGATAGTAATGGCTTTTGTCAGGATCCTGGGACTGTATGAAGAGTTATAACCCTCAGTTATAAATCCTCAAGAAAGGGGTACACATAGATCCTGTAATATCGCGGTGATTAACTCCCTCCCACTCACTCCTATATTCTACATGCTAGATTAGTCCGTCCAGAAGGGAATTTTGTATCTGTCCACATTCTTCATCATCTCGATTAACAGTTTTGATTGACTTAAGAAAAGCAGGAAATTACGATGATATTAAATAATAGGAAATATAAATAAAAAAATTGTTTAGCCAGTCCTTATTTTTAAAAAGAATTAACGCTTCGATAATTTTCATGAATACAATGAAATGTAGCTTACCTTTTGTTTCCGCTCTCTCGACATGCTGCGCTATGAGATTACTGTAGTAGTTTTCTAGGGTGACCTTTGGCCTTGGTGGCTTTTGTCCAGGGTGTGGACGCTGAAACGGGATCGTGTTCTCCGTCGCGGTCATGTCCAAGACCCCCTGCAAAAAGAACGGAAAAATTAATTAAAACTGTCTAATGGTTAATGTCGAGCACATTTAAATGCTACATGCACAAAGTAACTAAATAAAACTTTTTAAACATCGGGTCAGATATTCTGAGTTGTAGTATAATGCTTTAACCTTTAACACAGTATACAGTATTGTATTAAATCTACTGCAAAATTAAACAAGTCACAACAATTTCGACATAATTTTGGTTTGTTATTTCTCCACTCATTTGTTTTGTTAATTAAATCGTCTAATGGTTAATGTCGAGCACATTTTAAATGTTAACATGCAATAAAGTAACTAAATAAACCTTAAACATCGACAATTCTGAGTTGTAGTATAATGCTTTAACCTTAACATTGTTATGCTGCGTATTGTATTAAATCTACTACCAAACAAGTCATGAAATTAATTTTCGACATAATTTTGGTTTGTTATTTCTCCACTCATTTGTTTTGTGAAATAAGATAATCCAGTGTTTTATGTGAGAACATATCGATTATCGATTTTTACTGTAAAGTTGCACTATTCAAATAATCAAATGAAATATTCAAAAGAAAAAAGACGTGCGTCGATGGTACGATTAAGGAATTAACAGCAAATTCCGTATTAGTGATGGGTATTACGATGCTTTTTATTGGATCGAATCATCGCTGATTCAGTTTCTCATAATGAATTGACTCGATCCGTTCATTTGAACAAAACTACAAACATAGTTTGCGTATCACAGTATAAACAGATATTTTTTTGTAAATAACTTTCACATCGCTTGAATTTTATATTCATGATGTTTGTTTAGTGCTTTTGTTTGATGATACCCTACTACTAAATACGCAACTTTAAAATTATGAAGACGGGTTAAAATACAGTTTATTTTATTACTAATATATAAAATTGGTATAATAGAACATAACATTTTATTACTAAGATAATAATTATCTATTATTTATATCATTGCTATTACCTATATTAAATATATTTAAAAACGTTTGGGTACCCAAACTCATAGTAGATAATTTTAGTATTTATTTTTTAAACGAACTGTATTGTGTTATGAATCACCTCCGATTCTTTGAACGAATGAGCCGTAGAAGCTAAAACGAACCGTGCGATCCGATTCACTTACGACTCGTTCGTTCAAATTTTATGGATCCGTGCTGGCCACGATTTAATTGAACAAACCATATTCCAAGCGGTGAATAGAATCGCACGATTCATTTTTTAATACTCCTTCAAATGAGCGACTCGTTTAATCTTTTGCCCATCTCCATTCCATATTATTACATACATAATATTGTCATTACTCGCTGATGAGTATTTGACAAGCATCAGAAGATTGTTACGCAAGGCGCTTCACGAGCTTTTCTGTAACTGAAAAGCCCGATACGTGATGTTATCTCTTCCGCACTCCGACGTTCAAAATCTCGTTACTCTGTTGCCTCTTTACTTTTTGGTTGTCGTTGTTAACTGAGTTTACAACTCTTGTCCATTGCGTTGTATTGTGCGTTGCTTCCTCCCACTGATTTTGCATGCTTATCCCCTTTAAGTTTTCATGGAAAATATCATTGTACCTTTGAGTTGTCTTACCTCGGTTTCTCTTGCCCCTATAAGCCTCGCCACCGTAGAGAAGGGATTTCGGTTTGTGAACGGTTTTCTTGCATCCTGCATACGTGACCAGCCCATCTTAAGCGGATTTAGTAATCATGACTTCAGCGCTCTCACAGCTAGCTTTTTCAAGGACCGATACGTTTGAGACATGGTACCATGATTCTTAACAGTTGTCTAAGATGTCTCTGTTGCAACTTGTTTAATGCGTTCATGTTCCGACAGTACGGTATCCAGATTTCACTACCATATAACATGGTGGGCATTATTATTGCTGGGTACACTACAAGTTTCGTTTATGTACTCAAGTCATGATTGTAGAAAACCCTGCCTTTTAATTTCCAGAATTCTCTTGAGATGCTGCTAATTCTGTGCTGAATTTCAGAGTCGACATTGGCCTGTTCCAAAATCAAACTACCGAGGTAATTGAATTTCGGTAAAATATTTTTTAACTGAAGAATAATGTTCTGCATGAACCGATATGTCCAAAACACTCAGCATACTTTGGTTGACAGTTGTAATGAGCCTAATTGTGATGCTGAAATTTTTAATCAGTATATATATCTCAGTATTAATACTGAGATATTTCTGTAGTGTGTTTTCCAGGGTATGTGTAGCATTCTATAATCAACTCACATCTCAAAGGCCATTACACGTTGCCAGTCCTTTTTTTTAATGGTCCAAGTTTCTGCAGCGCTAGTAGTCTTAGAAGAGACAAGAGCTCGAACTAGTCGTACTTTAGTGTTCTTCGTGTCATCCTAGATTTTAGCTTCACTGTTGCTGATTTAGCATTGTGAAGCGTCTAAAAAATTCTTCTTCACACCATGCACTAGTTGTGGAAACAAAACCCAGATAGTTCATATGATTTCCACCACTTCATATCCTGCTACGTTTCGTATCTCTGGCTTTTTTCGACTCTGATTTTTTCGGCTCTGATTTTGCGTTATACACAAGTAGAGTACTCCGACTACCTCTATGTTAACTCCATTTATATTATATATATATATATATATATATATATATATATATATATATATATATATATATATATATATATATATATATATATATATATATATTAATCGGTTTAAAATGTTCTACGTCTTCCGATGCCATCTCTCCATGCACCGTCTCCGAGAGATCTTTTCTCCATAAACGTGTCAATCCCTTCCTGCCAACTTCTTCTCGGTCTACCCGGTTTTCTTCTCCCTGCAGGTTTCCAGTATATAATTTGCTTTCGGATTCTTATTTCTGCCATTCTTTGGACAAGCCCCTACCATATGAGTTGACTCTTCTTTATGTCGTCCACTATCGTATGTTTAACTTCCATAATCTCTCTTATGCGTTCATTAGTTATTCGCTCGAGTCTTGATTTGCCTGCTGATCTCCAAAAATCCATCTATGTAGCTTCCAGCATTCGTTTTGTTGTTTCTTTAATTGGCCACACTTCACAGCTGTACGTGGTTATACTCTTGATGATGGTATTATATATTAGAGTTTTGTTCTTGTTGTTTATGCTTCTGTCCCACAGTATCCCATTCAATACCGTGATAGCATTCCGGTATTGAATGGGATACTTTACTCCACTTACTAACTAACTCTACTCCACTACTAACTCCATTTAAAAGAGGAATATTTTTAGCCGACCATACCAACAGGTATGGTAGGCTATTAAGATCGGTAAAAAAAAAGATTTTTTAATTTCACTCAAAATTAGTTATTTGGGTCATGTCATAAATGACCTAAATACAAAATATTTTCATGATGACTGTCTGTCTGTCTATCCGTCTGTCTGTAATACGATAACTCAAAAACCGTTAAACCGATTTTAACCAGATTTGCCACAAAAATACCCCGCAATGGCACCCGAGAATCTGGCCATTAGTTTTTGGTGGGGGTGGGAGGTTGGTAAGGGGGTATGGGAGGGGGTTAAAAATTTTAAAAAATCGTAACTCCAAAATTAAAGTAGCTAGCGAAACGCGGTTTTCAATTTAAGATTAGGAATAATATTTGCAACAAAATTTGTAATAACATCAAAATCAGTCAAAGTCGCAGTTTTTGAGATAAAAAAAACTGGAAAAATTCCTAAATGCCTACCAACTTTTTATTAACATATTTTAGTATGGGCGGCTATACGTGCCTCCCGGCGCCAATTTTTTAATTTAAAAAGAGACTTGATGCATTGAAAATTAGAGACTAATATTATTTCTGCACTTCAAAAAAACGTAGAATAACAACATATGAACATTTCCTTAATTCCGTTCATTTCAATAATTTTTAAATAAATCTGAAAACCCATATTGTTCAGTGACGTAACCGTGGTATAATATCGACAGGATTTTAATATTATGCTCGTTATTACCCTTGAAGGCGGATTCGGTAAACAGACGGCATGTGTAAACAGACACACAAAATGTCAAGAATGGATACGTGAGCGAGAGGCAGCGAGCGTGGGCATCGACACGAAGAATCGAAAATGTTTGAAATTGATGTTAACACGATGGAAAATCGACGAATGGAGAATTTTCGACCTAATACGTACTGAGCGTAAGGTCGATTTTTGTTTGATTTTCTCCGGTATTACATAACCAGTTTCGTAATTAATGTAGGTACGGTTAATAATGGTTTATTAGTAGTTCTCAGTTAGGTATATGATTATATGAATTCGTAGGTTTAAACAAACAAATAATAACATCACATGAGATAGAAACACAGACATTATAAATAGAGAAAGTTTACTCTATATAACGAATGTACCCAAAATATAAAAAACAAAATGTAAACAGAGGAATGCACTAGATTGATCATCATTTATTAAAAGAATTATTAACAAGAATCTAATATCTAATAAAACTTAACAAGAACTATATGATTATTAGATACTGATTATATATGGTATTGTTGCGGACCGGTGTGGACTCGACCTAACCTAACTATATGGCCCGCCCTCGGATGACCTTAACATCGCATTAAAGAAAAGACACCGTAATGATTCATTCGAAGATTCGAGAAGAATCGAGTTCCACTGGAATGGAGTAGTACACACGAGAACAATCGAAACCTTCTCTATGCACCTAACGATCTATGGACTATTCTAGAGATCTTTAGCTGTCGGTATAAAAGCCGGCGGCTGTGGCCTAGAGAGGGCAGTTATAAATAGACGAGTGCAGTTGACGCGCTAAAATTCAAAATAAATTCTTAGTTATAAATCGTTTGTAAATAGTTCTATAAGTCTTTTATCGTTATTGTTTTTGTTAATTAGTGTTAAATAAATAGTGTTTAAATAAATTGTGACTTTCTATCCACACGGAACCGACGAAAAACGTAACAGTATGTTGGGCTTGTTGGGTCACAACAAATGTTATATGGTTAATCTATCTTTCAT